TGCGGGCTATAGGTACCACAGTTGGGTTACTCTCTCTACCCTTTACTCTCTCTCTCTCTCTCTCTCTCTCTTTCTGTCTCTCTCTCTGTCTCTCTCTCTCTCTCTCTGTCTCTCCCTCTCTCCCTCTCTCTCTCTCTCTCTCTCTCTCTCTCTCTCTCTCGCTGTCTCTGTCTCTCTCTCGCAGAGTTAGGTTTAGGGATATCCCAAACCTTATGATCGCAAGAGCGAGCGTGCACTAGACCGTGTCAGTTGAGTTCCATTATCTCTCAGAGTTTAGGGTTTTCTTTGGACTGCAGGAACTGAAGCCACGTGCAATGGGAAGATTGAAAGTATTAACCCCCAAATCTTGAATATCCTTACCTCAAGGAATCTACTGCTTAGTATTGATTGGGAGTCTTCTCTCCTAAAGTTAAGTGTAAGAGGAAGAAGGTTGTGACGTGCTTCATTCTAAGTACTGGTATAATAAAGCCATGGAGCACATTCTTTCTTTCCCGTTTTGCTTCATTTGTTTGGGCCTTTTAAAGGTGAATGTTGGTAGAGAAAAGCACGCCTCATGCTTGCGTTGCTTTTTCTTATTAGGGGGAGAGGCCAGTGGCAGGAGATCGTGCAGTTGGTGGGTGATGAACGGCAGTGCCCCATCTGCATGGACGCGATGGAGCCAGAGCCTCTGCAGCCTGAGGCCGGAGGAAAAATCCTTCGATTTTTTCAAGTCAGCCGTGATCCGAATGGGTCGTCCTGTGTGCAGGTGCTGGACGAGGATGGTGATGTTGAGGCTTAGCTGCACAAAGACTATTTCTGGGTAGTTCTCTTTGAGGCAGCAGCATGGTGCAGTAACAAGGACATGCATGCTGAAACGAATGCATCCTTCTCTTGGGCACGTGATGCGCCACCGGTGCAAGGACAAGTGATGCCTTCCAACTTAATTCAAGCCTTTTCGATCTCCTAGTTGCTGGCTGATCGGCTGATGTGCAGGAGCTTTCCGACTTCGCTGCGGCCACACTTATCACATGACCTGCTTGCGCACATGGTTTCAGCAGAAAACCAGATGCCCAAGCTGTCAGCAAGAGTTTGGAAAGGTAGTGACGTGGTTCAATTACAGCCAGCCAAGTGTGGAACCTTTTCTCTGCACGCTGAACTTTCATGGCATGGACATTGCCGTTGCACGTACGTGTCACATACGTCATCATGGTCTAGGCATGGCTGAAATTACCGGATGCGCTTTTACACGGGGGGCGTTGTATGATTGTACCGGTGCATCTTTGGCGCCGCGGGTCTCAGTTGTCACACATAGACAAATAAGAACGGGATGCAGTGTCCGGTAAGAAGACAAGGATGGGTCGCCGCAGAGCGTGCGCTGTCGCCAGGATCGTTCTGCAGGACGGGGTTAAATAAAATCGGGCACGAAAACCATCCAACGTACGGACAACAATTTCCGAAACAACATCACGAGGAGGCAACGTGAAATTCAAGCACTCGGACCGTCAAATGCACGAACTGTCGCTTCCGTGCCCAAGTGTCGAAAAAAGACTTGTTGAAGGTGCGGCTGGAGGTAGAGTCTAAACCTATCAATACCCAAGACAAACACCAAGGGTCTCCGTGGCCAAACTGCCCGTGGAAAGCTGAAGTTGGTTCTGCTCTGCTGCTTTTGCTACAAGGATTAGAATGATACTGAGGTGGGGAAGCAGCCTCGTCTCGGAACCTTCAGCTGGCATTGTGAGAACTTCACACTCCCTGGGCACCCAGACGCTGTCAAGACCATCGTCATACAGCCCTTATCTTGGCGATGCATCATCATGCTTGCTGGCCTGTGCGAACTCTTGCCGTACTTTCTGCATCTAGGTTTATGTTCCCGGAGGGCATCGACGATGAAGGGAAAAGCTACGCAGGCACCTCGCAGCTGGATTTGCGCGTCTCGGCGGTGTCAAGCTTAACGCAGAATTTTCGTGCCTGCAGGCAGAAAGCCCAAAGGATATCTTCCATGCAATGCGCAGGGAATCATCTTACTGGAGCTCTTCAAGGCATTAGCGATCCTGACCTAGGGTCTGTGGATGTCCTTTCGACAGAAGGTAGCTTTCCGACGGCGTGTCATGTTCGGCATGGGCGAGTCCATGACGTTCAGCTCGTACCGTCCGACGTGCCTTCCTCATGCTTGGAACAGAAAAAGCTCCAGAGTCTCGCAGCTGAGACCTCAGGTTCAACATCCACATCAAGACCAGCTCTTCGGGAGGAGAGACCAAGCACGGTTATCCAGATGAGACTTACTTCCAGAGGCAGATCGCATGCCCATGTCAAGTCGTCTTCAGCACGGCTCATGGACAGAGTCAGGTCCCTGCGCGAGCTCAAAGCGAATGGAGTATCTCTCGCGGACCTGCAAAACTAGACGGTCCTGCCCCGTGTGGGCCAGACTCTGTACAGAGCAGCGGGTCCGAAAAGGCTGTCAACAAGGTCTCGCATGCCTAAGGTGAGACATCACATGCATCCGGCTCTTCGCTGCAATGCTGGTAGTTGATGAAGCAGACACGAGCCAGGTCATTTTGCTCACCCATCTTCACGGAGATCACTGCTATGGACTGTTTGGTTTGTGACTGTCTTATGGTTGGTGGAAAGCACTGTGTGAGTTTCGTGCCGTCTGGCTTTTAGCATGATTCCAGGTTGCAGACGGCTGCTCTCGAGGGTCGCAAGGACCTTTTTATTGGTTGCCTGAGCATCCGCTTCCAAGCTTGTAGTGTGCCAAGTTGGGAGAGGACCCGCTACTGATAGTGGGCCCTCAGGGGCACCATCCTTGAAATATAGCATGTGGATGCATTTGGCATGTGTGACCAGAGTGAATCCTGGTGAAGGCTTCGTACCATGGTGGAGACTGTTCTCCTGTCTTCTGGAGGTTGGTACTCAGAGGAGAGCTCTGGGCAGAAACTCGTGCTTGAGGCAGAATCTTGTCGAAGCTTCGTGCCTCAGGAGTCTTTCCAGATCAACTACTTGGAGATACCAAATACTGGAACGCCAGGTGGCCGGATCCTAAGTTGCTCTCGTGGCCGCGGCCATGGCCAAGCCGAGATTTCAGGTGAAAGTCTGGTGGGACCCTTTGGATCAGGCGGGCTGAGCTGGGAAGGATTATCTGAAAGTCAAGCCTTTCAAAGGTCCCCGAGGCTTGGGTTTCCATCCAGATCGCTGTCGGCATGCTGCAGCTGTTCAACTCGGGGCCGAGCTCTGAGAGCCGAATTCGGCCGATACTTCGGCCGAGAACTCTGAGCCCAGGTCTTAGCGGGTCTCCGCATACAAGCAGTGCCGCTTGTTCATGGATTGCCTGTCTCACTGACATGTTTCAAGGGACTCTTTGTAGGTGCACCGTATGACCTCCCGAGCTTTGCCAGGATTGGGGATATGTGCTGACAGAGCCGGACCGCCCCGGTAAGCTGAATGCTGCCAAGGTTGCGACGGTCCGAACCGTGTTCGTGTACTTCCACATATGATGCATTGCCTTCTTGTGAGGCTTTGGAGCTCGGAATCCCTGCAAAAAGCAGAATGCTCGTGTCCAAGTTCGGTCCAAATTCGAAGGTCGGAAAGAGGCGCTACATGTAGCAGAGAGTCGTTCCCGATTCTTCGTAAGGCTGGGACAGCTCAAACAAGGGCAAACAGTGCGGCTGGACGACGGTTCGCTTGCTTCCCAGCGAGAAACGGAAGATGTTCAAGCGCATGGTGCGGCGAAAGCAAAGGATGGTCTCCCCCGCACAGGTTCTGGGCACCAAGCCTGGCTCGCTTGTTGATCTGATGCATCCCCACGACTGTTCCAAGACGCTCGAAGCTAAGGCCCGACAATTCCGGGTCGAACCGTGGCAATCTTGCAGGACATGCCAACTGCTTCAAAACCAAAGGAGAATGCTGCAGCTTTGCAGGACACTTCCGATGCTTCAGCTGCAATTGAGCCTTGTCGTGGAGCTGCCTGTGCCCGAATCTCTGTGGAACTTCCCGAAAAGTCGCGGCACTCCCAACTTGCAAGGTGTTTGTAAGCCTGCTCATTCTATCTTGCTCAGGTCGTCCATGAAGCCACCTTTGAAGATGGCATGGAGACGGAGGCCGACATTTGGAGTCGGCAAGCCATTTTGCGTGGTTTTGCGGGCCCAGGCCATAGGGAAGGGCCACAGCACGTGGGAGGCTGAAGCAGGAAGTTTCAGTTGCGTAGTTGCCTCTGCCGCTGAAAGCCCCGAGGAGCACTATGGCAGCCCGCTTCGCCGCATCGTGTCAAGCGCCGGGAGCTGACAGACTAAGGTCAAATTAACTTCGATGTGCAGCATTGTGCAGCATGCTCTTGCCTTCGTGGTTTGCCGGCGATGAGCAGTAATATCAAGCTTCACAGACAAGTGGCAATACGACGCTCCCAGTCCTAACTCCTCACACCTCGACCGTTTGCCTGCCTTATTGACTAGACCATGCCCAAAATCATCCGATCGTCCTGAGAGGGCATGCGCCATGCCTCTCTGCAGATGCACTCAAGCGCCTTCTTCACATCATGGCAGAGGCCGAGCAGGGGCATGCACCGTTATAAACTCAACAACAAAGAAACACAAGAATAGGAACGCAGGCTTGAGGGAAAGAAGGAACGAAGAAAGGAAGGACAGAGGGAAGGACAGCCTTTGCCGGTGTACATTGGGAGATATTTGCTTGTGTATGGGTTTGCATTCACATCCATCGATTTATGCCCATAAGTGCAAACTTGTCCGTGTTATGTATATGTATGGATGCATGTGTGTCTGTGTATATGCACACACCGACATGTACGTGTATCAATGAATGAATGAATGTATGTATGTATGTATGTATGTATGTGTGTATGTATGTATGTACGCATGTATGTATGTATGTATGTAGGTAGGTAGGTAGGTAGGTAGGTAGGTAGGTATGTAT